AAAAAAAAAAAAAAAAGTATTAGACCTGTGTTCGACACAATCACTGACTATACAGGCAGGAGGAATGATTTCTGAGGCAACCAGAGACACAAATATTCCCCGAGTGCTTCAGCGGCGCCCAATATCCCTCTGCCTGTTGCACATCCTGGCCCTGTCTGGAGTCTTTCCTTCTCTTGTTTCTGACCCAAAATGCTGGGTCTCACAAAACTAACTCTAGAACTGCAGGCTACAAGTGTTAGCTTCCAGCTCTAAAAATATGAGTGACATTAGCATACAAGGTGTCCATCTGAGTTTTGGGTGAGCATTCTATGCCTAAAGAGAATATCTCCAAACGTGTGGCAGACTACACTGATGGGAAATATGGTAACGGCTCCTTTAAGGGAAAGCGAAGCTCTGCCCAGTCCTCAACATGACGCAATTTCTAGGCGCCACCAGCTCTATGGAGGCTTCTGCTTTGGAGGCGGCGCGGATGCTCCTTTCCAGTGTAGCTGCTGCCGAAACTGAAACTACGTTACCCAGGAGCCTCCGTGGTGCCGGGCCAATGAATGCCTGGGAAAGTGGCGTTTCCGTTGGTGCGGGAGACGTCAGGGTGGGACTTCCGTTCCCTTCCAGAGCGGACATTTTGTTTGCTTTTGGATTAACCCACCAGGTTGGTCCATCTCGCAGAGAGGTGACCCGAGAGGGAAAACACTGGAGGAGGCGTTGTCTCCCCTGAGCTGAGGCGGGCCTGAGGGTCGCGTCCTCGCACCCGCCGATCGTTAATGACCCTCTCCTCTCCCTGCGCCTTCTCGGGTCCGCCGGTTCGGGTGGAGGCGGCCCCACTGACGGACGACGGGCAGGTGGGTGCTGCGCTCTCGGGCCCTCCCCCGACTTCCCTTTCTGAACCCGAGCTCGAATGAGGGCTGCTTCAGGTCCCTGCAGGTTAGGCCCCTGTGTCCAGACAGCAGGGGCGGTTGGGTCCCGTTTCTGACAGCCGGTGTTTGGGGTGTGGAAGGACGATGCAGGGAGGGCCCAGCATGTGCGAAGGCTCGGAGGAGCGACAGCCGGAGGCTGCGGGATACCTGGGGCCGTTGGTTTGTGAAAGGGTCAGGGAGTGTGAGGAGTTACACTTGCAGCGACATTCAGAGGGGCTGTGCCTTCATTCTGAGCGCCCCGGGAGCCATGGAAGGTTCTAACGGGAGGGACGCGATCTGAAGGTTTTCAAAGTATTTCATAGACTGATTATGGAACAAACTTGGGGTGGAGGTCAGGAGATGATGAGGACAGTGAGGCACAGACAGACAGACCTAGTCCGAGTTTACACAGCTGTTAGATGGCCCTAAAGACTGAGGCACAGAGGGTGGACAGTCAGCCCCAGGTTTTTGTGTTGGGGCAGGAGTAGGGGGGAGCCGTGAGCTTTTGGGGCTCCTTCGTGGTTTCTTGTCTCTCACAGCCTCCTCTTTCCACAGGTTCCCACGAACTCAGAAGTAATTATGGACCCTGTGCAGGTGAGGGAAGGGTGTCTGTGCTCTGGATCCCACCCCATCCACATGATCTCCAGGATTGTGGTGTCCTACGACACTTTGCTTACACTGCCCCAGCGCATGAGTCTGAGGACCCTGGAGAAATCCTCAGCCCAGAGTTATAGGTCCAGGCCACGGGTTATATGGGAGGGTTCCTATATTGAGTGACTGTTAAAACATTGTTCCAGGTACCGGAAACCAACAGGGAGGAGAGACTGAGATTAAAGGTTTCAAGAAACCGCAGGTCTCCACCACGTGCGGTAGGAATCAGGAGCAGGTGGGCAGGAGTCCGGTCTGAGATGGCCCGCTGACAGGCTGGGCCTCCATTCTGAGGGTTGTGTAGCCGTGGGGTAGGGGCAGAGGAGGGAGGTGATCTGATCCAGGTTTTAGCAGGCCCCCTCTGGATGCCAGGTGGAGAACAGACTGTGTGTGGTGAGGGTTCAGGGAGCTGTGGTAGCCACGAGGAGACCAGGGAGGAGGGCGCTTCAGCATTCTAGGTGAGTGGTAGTAATGGATGGGCCACAGGGGAGCTGTGTAG